CTTCTTCATCATCTCATCATCGCCTCTTTACTTCCTATTTATTTTACAATCTCACTCATTCCTTCAATATTCAGCTTGGAAGTCGACCGAAAAAAGACAAGAAAAGAAACTTAAAAAAAGACACTCAATCTTTCTTCTTGAAACGAATTCGTCAAACTCAACCTTCTCTACTTTTTCAACTTTCGTCGACGACGTTTACTTTTTCCCTTCTACCTGGTAGATATCTTTGAGCTGTACCGCTTTCGGTGGCAATCAAAAACCAACCAGATATTTCGAAACGACATTTCTTGTGTCTGAAATCCATTCAACCTTTGTTCAATCATCTCACATCATCGACATCGCCAAGTGACAAATCCCTACCAGAAATTCGTGAATCATTACACATTGGATACTATACGACAATCACAATTGGCCCGGAAATCTCACTTACTCTGGATCAGGAGAAAGCTCAAATTCACCTAACACAACTCCACCATTACTGACAAGTTTTACTTTTTCTGGCCGGCACTCCAAGTCTTGGTCAAAATAATCGGATTACACAAACTTTGGAAGAAAGAACCTCCGCTCCTTTAGTGCCCAATCATCCTTCAAAGGATCGCCCCGGGGTATCTAAAGTTTTTACAATCACGAACCTCATATCAGCTCGGACACCGCCACGAACAATTGTTAAGGCCTCCCTCGCCGTAAAATCCAGTCTTACTTTTAACGCACAATTCGCCTCCTCAGCCATCATGAAAGGCCGTCCTGTCGACCAGCTCGTGTACGAGTGTATGTTTCCCAAACCCAAGACTGGAGATCCGCAAAGTTTCCAAGCCTTCTTGCAGCGAAGTCTGGTGCCTGAAGTTCGTCATGAAACTCAAGCTTTTTATGGTCACCTAACTTCGCAGGAAGCAAAGTATCCTGGCTTAGATTACTCTTACCGGCCGCATCGCGTTCGACTCTCTCGATTCCCGTGGCACAGACGACTATTTCGAGCTTTCGATAATTTGAGACTTACGGAATACGAAATTGCTACGTTGACAAAATGGGAAGGCACAAGATGGGCAAAGGAGAGATTTGAGAAAGAAAAAGGAATTATTATTAGGGATACAACGGGTGATGGGATAGAGGATTGGGTGTCACCAGAGTTACGACCTACAGTTGTGCGATTCGCAGTGCCAGCAGTAGAAGAAGAGTTGGAGGAGGAGGAAGAAGAATTGGATGATAATGAATTGGAAGATGATGACGTAGAGAGTGATATCGAAATTACAAGTGTGGGGACTGCATTGAATGAGAGACTGATAGCAGCAGCTGCTGAAAGAGAAGCTGGCAATATCACGGCACCAATGGATGAAGCTTGGGAACAATGGATGAAAGATGCTTACGAGAATGTTGGTGTCGGTATCTCGAATCCAAATTTGAATCCAAATGCCAATATCGTGGGTACGAGACCAGCTCCTAACGGATCAAGGGTTTATGTTGCACATCCATCAGCTCAGCCTGCGAGCCATGCGAGAACGACAAACTTAACACCTCTCTTCGATTCATCAAATGGTCGACAAATTTCTTCAAGATATATTGATATTGGACGTATTGACTCATCAAATATGTCTTTTTCAAGAATGCACACCGAAGGTGAAAGTTCAAGGGAATCTATCGAACAAACAATTATGAGAAGAAGGGATATTGAACAAGCAGTCATGAGAAGAGCTGATGCTAGCAGAGAACATCGTTATCTATATGCAACAAGACATCCGGATGTTTTGAGAAGTATTTATGGAAACCGTTATGTTCCTGAATATGAAGATTATTCTTCGTAGTAATGTGAGGGTTATTCAGTTCTTGCTTTTTCCCCGGGATAGGAATCATTCATAGCAACTCGAGGTTAGGGGGCATACATCAAACACATATTTTCTTTCGCAGGAAGCATTCTCACATATACATACATTCATATCGGCGTTTATATGGAATGGATTACACATCTTCATCACATTTTTCAATGGAGGTCTTCACTTGAGCATGGCGTTTTTAGCATATGGGTGGTGGGGAAGCGGGTAGGATATGGTTGGGTGTCGGAATTGGGGATTGGGGATTGATGGGGTATAAAGTTGCTTTGGCACGTATTTACTTCTCTTTATATTAGTTTATTATTGTTGTTTGGTTAGTGGTGCATAAGATGGATGGTTGGCATGAATGGCATGGGATTGGATGGGTAGGAATGAATGGATGGTAATGAATTGGAATGGAATGGAATGGAAGAGGAGGGGGGAGAGGGGAGGATCAGAAATGAGGGAACAGGAGGAGATGGTAATATCTACCTAGCTTTTATAGTACTAGTATTCAATATACGCACTTATCTATAATCATCTTGATTCGTGATTTTTGATGTAGGTTTTGTCTCTTCCTTTGGCTTGAATTGTGTGGTGTGGGATGGGTGAGATGAAGACGATGAATGAATGATTAGTTAGAACTTTAGAACTTTATAATGATAGGTAGAATAATAGAATGGGATTGATGAGATGGGTATCTGACTGGGAAGATGAATATTTACCTAGGTATTAATAATAGACTGTTTGATACAAAGATTGTTTGATAAAAGTAAATGGACAGATATGGATTCTTTAGTAATCTTGAGAGTTATAGGAATGATATTTTTACATTTTTGTACTTATTTTTATACTTCTATAAATAGATGGATATTTGTTTATATGATATTAATCAGACAATTCGATGTGAGGATGTGATATACTTTCGAGTCATTAATCATTCTTTCTTTATATGGGTGGGTACCTAGTTTTTATGTATGTGATTAGATATTATTAGTCTAGATACATTACATTGGTAGGTACCTTGTAGATATCGTGTTGTTTATGTTTATCTTAATATCGAATGTCTATCTAGGTATTCTAGGGAATTGGTTTATCCAGACCCATCCCATCCCATACTACGCCATACCACGCTATTCCCATCCAATCCATCTTATTCCAACTTGTGCATGCTATTTCTTATCATAGTGTTCATATCGCCTGTCCAATTTACAGATTATCGCTTCCCGTTCAAATCCAACAACGCCTAAGTTCAACCCACCACATAACATCTATGTAATCTTACTAATTATCCAAAAGATAAGACCACTCTGGAATTTCCTTGATGAGACTCCACATATACTTCTCCACCTTATTCGCACACTTTGCATATGGCGTGGAATCGTTGTTGTATTTTTTACAATTGGAAAAAACGAGCGTGGCGTCAGCGACGAAATCTTCTGGCTTCTCATATGAATCCTGATCGAGTTTTCTTTCCATAGTTTCAAAATCCATCGGGTTTGTAATTACCGAGTAATAATCCGCGACTTCATTACCATTGACAGGTGCCTTGAATGGCCAAGCTTTCTGGTGATTTTGAAGTGAACTCAGGAGGCGAGAAAGTTGAGCATAATTTGGTCCATGACGAGGTTGGCGAGCTAATTCGTCCATGGCGGGTGTCCAACCAGATGCGCGGATAGCTGGGATGGACATGGGATCGATTGGAAATGCGCCATTCTTCCATTGTTTGGGTGGTGCGTGAACTTCGTCTGATTTGCTAAAGGCGAGAATCTTCGCATTGACTACCTCCTTTTGCTTAACGATCATGCGGTTTGATTCCAGGTAGCGAACTCTGGGAACCATTTCGCAATGCATAATTGTTCCACCTTCGTAATCTTTGATGTAACCCATCCAGAGAGGTTTTGGAAGAGTGATTTCTTTGGTAAATCCTTGTTTCTTAAAGTATCCGATAGCATAATTGTCAGCGTAGGTAAGGAAATGCATGACTTTGGAGGAAGCTTTGACATAATCCTTAAGATGGTTCATCAGATGTGCACCATATCCTTTGACTTGCTGATCGGATGATATAGCACAAAAAACAATCTCCGCAAACTCGTGATCATCAAATGGTCGATATGTAATCCCTCCTAATACTTCTAGTGTTGCTTTCTTTACCAATGCCATAGACAAATGATTTCGATCATACACTAGACGAGCAATATATTCCTTTGGCATTTTGGGGAGTTGCTTTTGAAAAATACCTTTCAGCCCCGAAAGAATGATAGTACTTTCATTCGTATCGTCATTGTTAACAACTCGAAAATCAATTTCACCCTCTCGCTCTTCGATCACTGCGGGCTTAATTATTGTTAGACAGAAAACTGATGATTGATCGCATTAGCAAACTCACTTTTTCTGGAAAAGGTATAATGTTAATGTTGGCAGGGTGTTCTGCATTGGTCTTTTTCAAATTGTCGGTCAACTCGGTTTCACTCATTTTCATCTTTTTGGAAGATACTGGAAAAGTAGGGGGCTCCTCTGTAGCCTTTCGCTTTGGCGCATTTTGGGAATTTGGCAGCGACTCTTCTGTACCAGCCTTTCGTTTTGGTGTATCTTGGAGATTTGGACCCATGACTGTGTTGGATTCAAGAAGTTCTTGATTTGAATACTCAAAATCTGAAATCGATTCTGGGGTTGATAGAGTTGTTAGGCTCGATCCCTCTGACACAGTATGTTCTGTGAAATTAGGTGTTTCCTCAATGCTAGACTGTGGTAACTGAGTACGTAATCTTCTAGAGCTTGTTCTATTCCAATATTGGCCCAAATCACTTTTGATATCTTGGGAAGCCATGTTAGCAACTTTGATCGATTGCATGTAGAATGAGGAACGGCTTACTGTAGTTCTAGAATATAAAGATAGATAATAAATCAGGGGCTAATATTGTTGTTGCTACTTGCCTATTATATTTCTCTTAATAGATTGAAGTGTATTGTCGTTACCAAAAGTTGTAGAATATCAGTAGGAAGGAGGGGAAAGAGATGGAAAGAGTTACGTTTGATGTAAGAAACCTGGAGAAGTTGATCATCGAGGTTAAGGTTCCCTTCATTATGTAATCACCTTAGTGGCTCGTGTGGCTTAAGTGCATTAGTTCTTCTGGGCCCATCGGTGGAGCTTTTTTCCGACACTAAACTATTCCAGGATGTGAAGCCAGATTGCTGATGCTTTCCACAGGTGTCGTAAGCTTTGAGCTATCAATTGATTTCAACCTACAGCAATTGTACACAGCAGAGACAATAGCAAAACATTCAAATTCCAGTCAATTGATTTCTTTCTTCTCAGAGAGTCAATTCAACTTTACCTGCCACTACACATTCTTCAAACTTATCATATGGAGTCCTCATTACACGGAGTTTGGGAAAGTGCCGTTGGCAATCCCTTCATCCCTACCGTTGGAAAAGACAGTCAATTCTCCTTGGGATTCTCATTATTGTGTATCGGAGTTCTTCTTTCTGGATTATTTGGTCTCAGTATGCTTTTCAAGAATCACATTACTAGGCTTGTAGCTAACAATTCGTTTTAGACCGATCAGCTCTCACTCTGCCATTACTTGGACTTCCTGCTTCAGCAGCTATTGCGTATGTTATATTCGAATATTCTTCTTCGTACAAGTACTAATATTGAGTAGGTTTGGTTCAGTTTATATGATCTGTGCGGTTGGAGTATATGTTTAAGATACCCCTCCATCATCGAGACGAACATACTACGTTACCGCATTTTTGTACAATAGCTGGATGAGATAAAATCAAAAGGAGTTAATATAATTGTCATATCTGATTTCGCCGATAGAATATTCAATCTCCTCTACAACAGTTCCTCTTTGATAATTCACCCACCTATTTCTCTCTCTATCTTCACAATGTCGACACCTCCAGTTCACGAAGAGCCAGCAGTGCCAATCTTCAAAGCTGTTTCCAGTTCTGCCCGGCAGCTCTTCCAATTACTCAATACTATACGATTCGCAACCAAAGTTCAAGTCCAAATTAGTACCCAAGGTGTTCGATTTGCGGTTGAAGAATCTAGAGTAATGCAAGGTTAGTTCCCATAGTTCAATGGACGTAGTTCGCCTTGTAACTTTTTTTATAGGAATTGTATTTCTTGACAAAGCCTTATTTACTACTTTCAATTGTACTCTTCCAGGATCGAATACCGAAGAGGATGATGAAGAAGATGCATCTTCAAATGATTTACCTGCCTTTCAAATATCTCTTTCCGCCTTACTCGAAACTTTACAAATTTTTGGCGCAGCAGATGCTACTTCACGACTTTCCAGACCCGAAAATGAAGGATATAATAGTAACATTCGTCCCAATCGACAAAATGCATTCAGCAATCAAGCTTTAGGAATGGCGGGCGTATGTCGCTTCTCTTATGCCGGAACAGGGTCTCCTTTCAGTATTATCCTCGAAGAAGCGGGTGTCACTACAACTTGCAATCTCAACACCTATGAACCAGAAGACTCGGAAGAAATTCCATTTCAACGAAATGAGATGCAGGTTAAAATTATCACACAAGCTCGTTGGCTTTTCGATGCTATTCAAGAGCTAAATAACATGACTCCAACTCGACTTGACATTCTTGCCCTCCCTTCAAATCCCTATTTCAGCCTATCTGCTTCTGGCCATCTGGGGAGCGCTAGTGTTGACTTTTCTAAGGGTAGAGAATTATTGGAAACTTTCACTGTTAAAGAAAGGTGGTCTCAAAGTTATCGCTTCGATATGGTGAAAGCTGCTGGGGATGCTATGAGACTAGCGAGTAAAGTTAGTGTAAGAGGTGATGAGCAAGGTGTTTTGAGTTTGCAATTTATGGTGGAGGTAGATGGTGGTGGTGTTAGTTTTGTTGATTTCAGATTTGTGCCATTCATTCGAGGGGAAGAAGATGAGGATGATGAAAATAGTCAAGAGGATGAGGATGATGACTTTGGAGAGGGAGCCGATGATGAATAGTAGATTATCTGAACAATAAATATCAAGCAAATTTTACATGATTTTTGAGTATCTGATGTATCAAAACTTTTCGGGCTTTGGTCTAGCTGTCTTTTGACATGTTTCATCGCCATCTTCTATCATAAAGTGTATCCTAATTGTGCTATTCTCATTTGGTCTTTTGCAGGTTGGACTGTACGGTAATATAATCCACCTGGAAGCAATGAATCTACACATTCACCGTACGTGAGCCATAGCATACAGTACCAAGCGGCGTGACTCTAGGTACCTAGGTATAATCAGAAAGACACATCTCCACGAGAATTTTGCATTCTCGCAAGACAATAATATATAAACTTAACATACACACCCGATTTTCTCATCCAACTCCTCCAACTCCCTAAACTCCCAACAGACCAAACCATCCAAACCCAACAAACGCTTAATCAATCGCTAATAAATAAAATGGAAATGGAAAAGATGTCGATCAACGAGCCCACCGCCATCGGGCTCATACTCTCTATCATCATATCGACGGCAATATTCATATCGACGATGCTATTCATCTGCGACAAGATGGATCGCGGAACTGATATCAAATATGTAGAGGCCAACGAACGAAAACGTGTTATTTCGCAATTATTACGTCTTGGACCGCATAGATTGCGGGATATTTGTGAGGGCGAGGGAGTTAGTTACATGATGAGGGGTGAACGTGGAGATCTTGCTGCTGTTGGTGCTGGAGATTTTGGAGGAGAAGAAGTTGAGTGTTCTCGGAACAGGTTACACAACAAGTGCGGACACAGTTGAGAGGGGAATTGAGATCGCAGTTGGAAGGGGATGTGAGGGGAGAAGTTGAGAGGGAGTTGAGGGGGGAGATTAGAGAGGAGATGAGGAGGAGTGGGAGGGAGGGTGAGTTGGTGGCGGATGTTAGGGGGGAGGTTAGACGGGAGGTTCAGGGAAGATTGAGGAGAGAGATGGAGGAGGATATGAGACGGGAAGTTAGTAGGGATTTGAAGGTGGGGATTAGAGAAGAGATGAAGAGGAGTGGGAGAGAGGTTGGATTGGTTGTTGAAGCGATGGCGGATGTTAGGGAAGAGGTTAGATTGGAGGTTCGGGGGAGATTGAGAAGAGAGGCGGAGAGAGATTTGAGACAAGAAGTGAGTAGGGAATTAAAGGCAAAGATTAGAGAAGAAATGACGAGGAGTGGGAGGAATGTTGGGTTGATGGCCGAAGCGGTAGCGGATATTAGGGAGGAGGTTAGACGGGAGGTTCAGGGAAGATTGAGGAGGGAGATGGAAAGAGATGTGAGGTGAGTTTTGGAGGGTGTTTCTTTATGTCATCTTGATCATCAGTCAGTTGCTAACATGATACTGATTCAGAAGAGTGATTGATATGGAGAAAAAAGAATTAGAGGTGAAGTTGAGGAGGGAGATGGAGATGGAGGCGAGAAGAGCTGAGGTCGAGAAGCAGGTCGAGAAAAAAGTCCAAACACAGACTAAAGAAAAAGGCACGGTAAAGGGGTATGGAAAAGGAGATGGTAGCGAGGAACTTATGATCACGACAACGACCACGCAGAAGGAAAACGGAAGCGTAGAAGGCAGCGAGGAGGCTATGTTTTCAAAGACGACCAGACAGAATATTCTTGCAAGAACGAAGACGAGATAGGCAGTTTGCGAGAAAGACTGTTCAGAAACTGGGCTTGTCTTGTCATCCCTATACTCCTATCTGGTGGTATTGCATGGAGTCAGTGGGGATGCAAGTATCGGTTGGGCAGATGTAGATCGTGCGTGTAATGGAGGTGTTTACCTAGATGAGTCCTATTGGATGTAGAGAACCATCCACTTAAAGAAGTATGAGGGTGACTTCTTCCTCGTATTTCAATGCAATTTCCATGTTTTGCTAAAATGCACTAAATCATCACTGTTCATTTCTATTAGTCCGATCAAAAAAGCACTCCGCCATCGACAAAATAGACTACCGTTTGGGACGAATCACTGTATGTATGCTAATAAAGTTTCCTTGTGATATCCATGTCGCAGTTTCACTGAGGAAGACTCTTTCTGCACCCCGCCAGCAAGTTCAAGAAGACTAGTGAAATATTTTTTATTATAGAGCATCTATGTAATGGACCCTGTAAAGGAATTTTCATGCATCTCATTCTGTTGGCCTCATCTCTCTTCCCTCGATCTCAAACAGCAACTTGGGAATCGATTTCGAATTCTCACCAGCACCAATTAGCTAAGGATAGATCGCTAATTATGTCATGGAGATCTTTTGCCTTCTTCGCTAATTGGTCTCCGCAACATTGAAGCAATGCTATACGTGAGAGTGGAAGAGTATTGATCTTACCGCAAGCGATGACCGCGAGAGTTGTTTTTCGTGTGTAACAATTATTTGCCTACGAGAGTACGCAACAACGGCCACCAGCCACTCAATCGATCCATCTTTGTTGTTCTCTATCGTACCCAATTATAGCTAAACCCACATTTAACGTTCTCAGCATCATTGCCATTGTGAATTCCTGTACTAATTAGTTATGTGTCAGATCAAACACTAATGAACCTACGTCTTCCTCTCCGGGATTCTCTCCAGTGTCTCCGAGGCCTGGAGCTCTCTGTGCCTTCTCATTCTCCGTTTCGAGATCAATGCTATATTCTGCATAAACGTCTCGTTTCTCTTCATCCTTACCCTCCTCGTCCTCGTCATCAGAGTTGTTGTTATTATTGTTATTGGATTCATCCTGATCCCAATTGTTTTGGTACTCATGTTGTCTCTTTTGCATTTCCTTCCAAGCTCTTGGTCCACCCATCCTACGCCATCGAACAATATCAGCATGACTCCTATAGCCCAAGCACAGAGTGACATACCTATTAACCCTATCTCTAACCTTCCCAAATAACTCTTCTGCTGCCAATCTACTCGTGCTCCTCCATTTCTCACACAAATCTACCAACTCCCCATCAATTTCTCCACTTCCATTTTTATCTTTAGCTTTACTATCCCTCTCAATCTTCTTCGCCTGTTCTGCCGTGTCCAATTCCTCCTTCACTTCCTTCAATAGTTTCTCTAATTCCCTCTGCTCCTTCAATAGTGGCGCAATATCCGGATCGGCATTAATAACTGCTGCTGAAATGGGTGATGTGAAGGATTTCTTGGTGCGAATCGCAGTCTTTGGAGATGGGATGCTCACGACAGGGTAAGAAGTTGGAGTCTTGGAAAGTGAAGGAGTGGAAGCTGCGGCGGCGGCAGTGGAAGCTCGAGTCTTAGGAGAGCCTTTAATAAGAGGCGATTTGAATGGGGTCTTGAAAGGTGATTGAAAGGGTTTTTGGAGAGTACTTGCAGCTTCAATTCGACGACGTTTCGCTGCTGGGGTAGACATCTTCCAAGGTTGTGAGTTTAACTCGAGTTAGTGCTGCTGATGGTAAGTTGTTGATCAAAGATTGTGAAGCATTGTTATTATACGAGCATTCTTTAATAGTAGATGAGTATTTTCTGTAATAAGTTTTTGAAGTTGTGGTTTCCGAAAGGACGAGAGTCTGGAGAAAGCTTGGACCTCCCTTATATTGCTCTTCACCAGGAAACATTTGCAGTATGAAAGTCTCACCATATATTGCCTCTTTTGCAGTATTAAATCAACTGACATAAAAGCGGATACAGCGATTCATGGCCCGTAAATTTTACTGTTCTTCAAACGCAACTGATCATAAATCATTTCTTTATATTTTATAATTCTATATGTAGCGATGAAGCAGTGATGAAAACACGCTCCGTAATCTTGTAGGGGCCATATTCAATGTCTTCAACTGCTCTTCCCATGATTTGCTATCATCTGATGTAATATCTTCACTTAAGATCTTCCGAATATCCCTGGATGGACCCAGGTGCTCACCTCGTGGAATACCTGATAGGTCGACTGTGACAGTATTATTCTCGATATTCTTGTTGCCTATAACAATTATTGCACCGTAACGTTTTCGCTTTGCCTCAGAAATCTTCTTCTTGACTGATCGTGGACTATCATCTAGCTCGATAGGAACCTCGATGGAGTGCCGTGATTTTGGCCATGAATCATGATACGCTCCCTGTCCCAGTTGCATTTTGACTTTATTCGCGTAACTCACTACTTCTTCCGAATCATTCACTGTGAGGATGATAACTTTGGAGGGGTTTAACCAGAATGGCCAGTGACCATTATAATGCTCTATCAAGAGAGCCATCATTCTCTCGACAGACCCGAGAATAGCTCTATGAATTAGAACTGGCGCCACCGGTCCTTGTTTAGCCAACAATATGGGGTCATCTGTCGTCTCTCCCTTGGCCTCAATTTCTGGTGCAGGAGCTTGATACTCTAATTCGAAACGTTTCGGCAACTGGAAATCGAGTTGAATTGTTGCAGTTTGATGCTCTTTTCCATCTGAATCTTTCAAAATTACATCGATTTTTGGCCCATAAAAAGCGCCATCTCCTTCATTCATGGTCCATGGTTGTCCACTTTCATCCAGTGATTGCTTCAAAGCTGTCTCGGCATTGTCCCATTCTTCCTTTGTTCCAATGTAATGATCGCTTGGTCGAGTAGACAATGCTAATCTATATGGGCCAAGCCCTAACGTCGTATACACCATTTTCACGAAATCCAATGTACCAGAGATCTCTTTCCCAATTTGTGACGTTCGACAAAAGATGTGCCCGTCATCCTGGTGGAATCTTCGTACTCTGGTTAAACCGCTCAGCGCGCCGGATATTTCGTTCCTGTGCAATGGACTGAAATCAGTATATCTTATAGGCATCTCACGGTAGCTTCGCTGCTTTGATGCGAATATCAAGCAATGACCCGGGCAATTCATTGGCTTCAAACCATATTCTTCATTCTCTCCTTTTTGACCCCCAATGGTTTCTCCAGATGCACCACGACCAACCACCGAATACATGTCCTCGGCGTAATTCTCCCAATGTCCCGACTTTTCCCACAGGGACTTCTTGTATATTGTAGGTGATATGACTTCCTCGAAACCAAAATGTGAGTATTGGGCACTGAGAAATTCGGTCAATGCTTTAAACATGCGTGCACCTTTGGGAAGAAAAAGAGGCGAGCCGGGACTATAAGGGGAAGTAGTAAACAGTTCTTGTTCGATTCCAAGCTGTCGATGATCAGCTGCTGGAGTTGAAAGGGTTGCTGTGGTAGCTTTCGCGACATTCGAGACATTCGAGGCTATTGATGGACTCTCGCACGATGCACATGAACGGGTCAGAATAAATGTCGCATGGTTGGACTTCCTTGGGCCTATATATCGAAGACATTTTGGAGGTGATTTGACATTCAGTCCGTTCTGGAACAGGCGCAAGGCTCTAGAGGAAACCATCACGAAATTTGTGAATCATACACTGATAGCAAAGTACTGGGTAGCCCTGGGAATCTTTCGATATGGAGCTCTGAAGCTTAGTTGGGTAATTTTTCCGAAATGGTGGGGTAAATCACGAGTTAACGCGGCATCGCGTTTGTACGTGACGTTACATGAAGCCTGAAAAATACAATACACCAAAGGCAGCAAGGAGAGACAAGTTCCAGGATATTACATTTTGCGGGGTTGCGATAGGTGGGCAAGACAACAACAACAAATCATGAGACAACGTCATTCATCTAATCATTTATCCTTCATAACATAAGTTAGAATAAAGTTGCTCTCGCCACTATCAATATTAACATATGTTCACCAGATTCAACTCTTTCTAATCATTGCTTATCAAATTCTCAGTCCTATCTTGCTGTTGTGCTGCATATATCCTTACGTTCACATCATTTGCATTATCATCACTTACCACTACAACGATTCAAAGCAGAATTTAATCATTAGACGCAGCTTCCCACGATGCGTGGCGGCAGACCAAACCAACAGCTGGGTGAATCATGGGTCGTAGAAGGCAACCAGGAGGACTATGAAGAATATTTGCCACCCATCGAAGCAGATTACGATCGTCGAACAAGATCTTCTGTTCCACGAAGACCTACAAGAGGTAGTAATAGGTCCCCAGAGCCGGAATTCGTGATGCCTTCTCTGGACGCGGAAACTCTAGAAGCTTCATGGTCTCAGGCTGAGAGCACTAGTAGAAGCCCCCGGCGATTTCAAGAATCTCAAAGACGAAACTCGCGACATGATCAGAACCTTGAAAGCTCAAACATACGTCTAAGAGCCCAACCCACTCATAACAGATCCTCTTTGGCTCCTCCAACTGCAAATTCCCATCCACCACATCGGTCAAATTCCGACGCCAACGATATCATTACTACCTTCATCGATCATACAACAATGATCTTCGCATGGATAATAGAGATCCTAGGAGGCGCGCTTAGACTTTTGAGGACGCCTCTATCTTACTTACTTGCTATATGCATTCTCTCTGGCATCGGTCTCGTAGCACGTAGCCTGGTTACCTCATCCATCTACGCATCATTATCTCCCATTTGTCTAATCCCAGGGTCATCTTTGTTAAACTTGCCGTTCTGTTCTACTCATAATGCTGATTCTAGTAAAGCAAGAGTACCAGTTGAGTTTGAACAAGTTATGATGGTTCAGTCTCAGTTCGAAGATATACTCAGGGAAAGTGCTGGAGGAGTCTCCCTGCCACTAGATATGAAACGTGGAGAGAGCTTTCTTAGAGATCTTCGT